ATACAAGATGTTCTGCATAAAACTGAAACATGGCACAGTTTAAAAAACACTAATAACTAACATACTTCCATGGATGTTCCTGTCTGTTTTTGCAGGCGTCACAAACCATATGTCGCACTCACTTTGTACCGTAGCGCCTGGTAGATGTCTGCAGCCAGTTGTCCTTTCCACCATTGGTCCTCTAGCTCCATTTAACACACTGAAACCTCTGAAAGGCACAAAAACACGTGAAAGGCCAATCAATCTACTCATACTTTGTGCTGAAAGTGTGTGTGTGTGTGGGGGTGGGGGGGGGGGACAGTATCTGATGATGCACACTGACACTTTTAAACTCGCTGGATTCGCAGTGGGTCGTTCAGGGTTCTTTAACTAAACTAGGAAATAAGAAAAGTTTGTGTTCACGGTTCAGAAAGTGGACACTCACCCAATGAGCACATGTAGTGGAAATTAGGGGCAGTTTCACTGAAGTAAACTTCAATTCAAACTAGCCGGACACGCTCACACTCATTGTTGTAGTCAGTGAGGATCTTCGGGCTCAGCACGAGTTCAGCAAACGCTACTGCTGCCTTCACGTGCTACCGGAAACACCAGCCTCAAAGCTGGGAGCGCGTGAACAGCCGACGGAAATGAAGACGTGAAAACCGCAAAGGTTGTGAAACAACTGGTGAAAAACACAAAAGTGGGAGTTTTTTTTGCAACAACCCTACATCATTTATCACATCTTATTATGTTGTGATCTTGTCTATTCCACTAAAGTACAAACGCATTCATACACAGTTGATTCATTGTTGAAATAACCTTTTAAGTTTGTAGAATTTAATTTTAACCAGAAATATTAAGTCCGAATTTCTACTAAGGTGAGAAAAAAAGTTTCCGATTAGCACTTGAAAGCATCACCTTCATTGGCTTTTAGTGCACACAGGACGCAGCCAATTACAAGTAAGTATAGTAACTGCCAACATCCAATCACTGGCCTGATGCAACCCATACCCAATGTTAGGGAATTATGACTATTTATATAATGGAAAACATCAAATAATAATGAACAGATTACTATTGTTTGAATATTATCCAATATAAGTTAAATGTAATGCCTGAAAAGCAGCCAAAGTGGAGAAAAACATGTCTGCATACAGGCCCGAGTTATCACATTTCCAGAGAATCTTAACTGTGTAAATTTCGAGATAAATAAGAACTGGAAAGTTCACAAAGCAAAACTGATATGTTGATGTTACAAATGGCAAATGATTTGTCACATTCACATTTACTTAGAATTCATCAGGTTTACTCCCACGTGGCCTCTGTAGAAATTCCATTCATGATACATTTCAGGAAACAGTTCAAAAGAAGAAACAGCATTCAGAGATTTAACCCCTCGTCTGTGGTTTACTTTTATAAATATGCTGACATCAACCAGATCAACTTGAAGCCACGTGGAAATAAAATCTATCAATCTAACATTCTCTTCCATTTTATTTCATGTCACGGTACAGTCACAGACATTAACCCAAAGCTAAATAACAATTAATATCTTCTTTGAAGGTAAATAAAGCCACAATAATGAATATCTGGAGTTTTAAATAATATACAAGGTTTTCATGTGTTAGGCAGTAGATATCCTTTTTGTTTTGATCATTTACTACAGTATATATCACATTCAGAGAAACCCATCTGTTGCTTTAGTGTAAGCATGCATATGTGTCTGGGTGCACTAGTGAGAGCCATGTGGAGATATAGGGTTATAAGAAGTGAAATCGACTTGTTTTTGGCAGATTTGCTATAATTTGCTATACTTACATCTCTTATCCTCTTCCTTTATATGCCCAGGGTCAGTCTGGTAGTTTATTTCTGTGGTACAAATTACAAAAGGGGTCAGTTTGCCCCAGCACCACAGCACAAGTCAATCTGACCCTAATAGGTTAAAGCAACATTGAAGTTACTATGGCTTCTCTGTCTTTCAAGAGCAAAGGAATTAATCTAATGCATGGGGGGTGGGGGGGTTCTTCTGGACGGGGCCACTGAGGTGGGCACTTGTGGAGAGGCTGCAGGAACCCTGCTGAGCTGGAGGAAGTGGAAGCTGATGGTGTCACAGGGGATGGCGTCAGGACTGTCCCCTTTGTCTTTCAAAACGACAGCAGAATTCATTCAGTTCTTTGGCCAGGTGTTAATGGAGGTGGGCGGGCAGGGGGGGCAGGGGGGCGGCTTTAGGTTTGTAGTTGGTGTCTGTATCTGTGTGAGCCCCTTCCAGACGGAACCAGAGTCAATGGCTGAGAACTGGTGTTGGAGTTTCTCACAGAATATGCCGTTTATCTTCTCTCACCTCCTTGTTAAACCATGATGATTGTATATAACATCAAAGACCTCATCACTTATGGCTATTCAGGGAGCACTGGAGAGTTTGGCTGGAGCTATAGTGGGATGAGCCCACAGTACAGATAAGTAAGTAAGTAAAGATATATAGAAGGTAAAACTAGTGTGTCGACTCTTCTGTGGCCTACAAAAGGTGTATTAATGGAGCCAGTATGATACAAAAGTGTCCTAGTCAGTCATTTATTGCCAGGAAATGTATCTTCTAACAGATTATTCACAAATTTCCTCCTGTAAACAACTGGCATAAATAATTAATTGAATACGTAACTTTGGAATTATCTAAAATGTGTTATCTGCTAATCAAATACCATCATTATTTTAGCAGCCATACTGTGCTGGAAGTTACATTCATTGTATTTCTTTACATGTTCTGTGGGGAGAAGACGTCATAGTGGTTCCATTTTGTTCTTAAATAATAAAAGAGCAGTCCAGAGATTACGGGTGCGATGCGGGGGGTGAGTCTTTAAGAGGATTGGTAATACTAGCTGCTCTGTGATAGAAGCTGTTGAGGGTGGTGGGTAGTCTTGTTCTTAAAGGACTGCAACTGTCTCCCAGAGGAAACAAATGGTGTCCTGGGTGGAGGGAGCTGGTGGCAGTCCTTTCTTCCTCTTGGTGTCATGCAGGGCCTCGGTGGAGGGCAGCTGACAGCCATTGACCTATGAACAACCCACCGCTGCTCTTTCTCCAAACAGCCAGACAAAGAAACACCAAAGTAGTGGATGTAAACGTCAGTTATTGATATTTCCCTGGCAGTGTGCATGCTCAGTGTTTGCAGAAATAACATCCTGTTTGGCGGCTATTCACATCTGAAATATGTTTGGTGACGCCAGAGGTCTTGAATGACTCACCTGGTTTCTAAATCTGAACCATTGATTTCTTGTTTTTTTTTTTTTGCTGTACTTCAGACATTCCTTGCTAACTCAAATGCTCATCTTTACCTTATCTGAGTTTAGGAAGGGCTCTGTTCCAAATCGCTGGCAGCACAAAGGTCACTCTGCATGCCCATATAGACTGAGTCACATAAGATTTAATGACAAACCAAGTAGTCATATGGGAATGATGTGAGTGTATGTGCAGTAATTAGAAAGTGAATGTCAAAGGGTAAGGCCAGTGGAAGCAGTAAAGTAGAAATAGTAAGTTGGTTCAACACATAAAAATCAGTAAATACAAGATGAGATTATTTTTAACTACACATTGAAATGACTACTTGTCTCTAAAACAACAGTTATGTAAGTATATAAATATCTAAATATATATCTATATTCTTTACAAATTAATCTTAAAAAGTCTCATTAAAGATCACTAAAAGGTCACTGGTAGAAAATTAATCCGCAGCCTCGCAATAAAGTGTCCCACATTTACTGAACTGAGGCCCAGTGGGCTGTTATTGAACCGTGGGGAGTATCCCTTCATTGTGTGGTAATGTGATTTGTGAACTGCTGGCCAGACCCAAAGGGTGCCCAGCTTCACACAGCCTCACTCCCTAAGTGTTCTGCAAATTAATAATGGGCACTGCATTATCTACCGCACCTGTCTAGAATAACAACAAGGTGCGTAGCTGAATGAGCACAAACCAGCGGACCCCCCCAAACTGAGCACAAAGAGAGAAAAATGACTCAATTAAAAATATATTTTTCATTTTAAAATCACTCACTTTGTATGTGATTATATTCTTCTTGCTCCCTTGTTGAACCAATTCATTTGTTTAGTTTATCTGTTCATTGTCACAATATTTAAGAATGATTGCATAATACAGCTTTTTGTTTAATCTCTAGACAATACACTGATTAGATATGAGTTGTCTAACTGTTGACTGTTCTGCACATTTACACATTGCAATTCATTTTAATGATTTAATGCACAGGAGCCTTTAACCCTGAGATACCCACAAGACCTCATGTATACTTTTTTTTGTCATATCTCACAGCTGCTTTATTCTATCATTCAATATATTCTTTGTCAATTAATTTGTTTCTCATGAAGTCATATCACTGCTTTTATTTCATTTATTTGTGCTTTTTAGAAATACAAATGTCTTCCCGGGGGAACCCCTGTCACAAGCACCTGATTCCACTTGAGTTCATGTTTAAGTTAATTTGTGCCCTGGGTCCCGATTTAAAGTATCACACACTATCAAGGGGGGTTGGGGCACTCACACAGTTATTAGTTATTATAGTTATAAGAGACAGACACAGATTTTCTCATGTGCTCTATTTTCATTTTTACCCAATCTGCAAATGTAACTGTAACTTCCCTAAAATAATAAAAATCTGCTTTTAGATTACATTAATTACATCATTTATAATGCTTTTAGAATCAATAAGTTAACATTTTTCTATGATGGTTACAGTATTTTATACTTGGGGGTCCCCAGTAATTCTTATATGTTAAATATGTTGGTGGGATGAAGGTTATTTACCACCAAAATACTTTTTTTTTGTATTTTCATAGTTCACCTGTGTGTTGAAGCGGGCACACACAGTCCTGATATCTGGTGGGTTAATTGTAAAACTGTGTCACAATATTTCAGCCTTCCTGCACTCTGAATATCCAGCATGGTGCTTGTGGGTGCACTTTTAACTTGAAACAATGCATTTGACGGATGTAGCTCCCAGTTTTTGTCAGTATTGGTGCAGACGAGCTTTAATGTGCAAAGAGGTTTATTTAATGCTCATCTGAAACGCTCTTTTACACCATTTTGGGCGTCGTTTTACAGCATGCTGACAGAATGAACTCTCCATTCCTGCACTGAGAGCAGTGTTTGCATTAAACAAGCCTTGGTGTTTGTGTGCAGCTGCAGGCCCGGGACAGGACGGCTCTCTGTTGGAGGCACCAGGCTAAAGGCTAAAGGCTAAAGCAGCTCAGAGACTGTAATCCCCGTATGAAACCATCATGGCTGCCACTCGCTGAGCTGTCAAGCTCTCCACAAAAGAAAAGGTAAAAACTGAGACTACTTCACACACAACTACAGCTTTATGGTTCGCCTGTACCACCCGGTGGGTTTCTCTGCAGTAATAACTCGATGCAATGTTTAAAAACTGCTCTGTTGCAACTTTGTCGCCACGTTTTTTTATTCTTCAAGTTATTTCGTCTTTGTAAGCTCTGCTGTCGCGTCACGTTAATTCACTCAAACGCTGTTTCACGAAACGGTTGAACAGTTAGCTCACATGCTACATGATAATGTGTGTTTCCACCCGAAGCGAAAACGGCTCTAAGGGTTTCACAGTGGGATAGTTTTTTTTTTTTTTTTTTATTAACTTCTCTATTCCCATGGCGGTCGTTGCTCGGTACAAAAGCAAGCCTCTCATCACTTTGTTGTGGTCAACTCAAACTGCACAATGGCCGCACGATTCACCGATTAATCTGCCTCTAAGAGGGGATTCCTGAAGCTGCTGTAGTCTTCTTTTAGTGGTGCAGTTGTTAGTTTTGGCAGGTTTTTAATTGCACCTCCCACCGTAGCGCACGGAGTGTGTATTAAGCAGGCGGTGAAGTCCCTAACTATTGTGTGAGCAGGTGAGTTTAAAGTGCATTTTCCTGCAGCTGGTGCTCGATAAGAATGAAAGTTTTGAACGTGATGAGTGTGATGAATGAATATCCATGCAGAGGCATTCTGAACCACAGCCAGCAACAGGTGGACTTTGTTAAAATAACATGCAGAGCTGGGCTGAATGCAGCTTCTCTTTATGGGTTGACTGTGAAATTATGAACCAGCAGTCTCAACACACAGCACACAGTGGTTCTTTTCATTTCATAACTAAGGCAAATACATTTCAGAAAGCACTCTTGGGTTTGGAAGCTGTATTATTTATTTATTGACTCTTTTCTGCACTTTCAGAAACCTTTTGAAACCATGGATTCTGTGGATATTGGCGCAGTTACCTCCACAGGAGGCAATAAACAGCGTGTCAACAAGAAGAATAGAGATTGGCACAAACGGCTCCACCTCAGGAAGACTGCCGTTCAGCCCCCAACTATGCAAAGTGAAGATAAGCGTGGACCAAAGAAGATAGCAGAGGAGTGGGAGCAAAGCGCAGTGTGGCCTTCATCAAAGAAGCCCCCCCAGGAAGCACAGCAGAGGACAAATGACAGCGGAAATACACTCAGGTTCACATGCTCTCAATGTACGGACAACTTGGAATATGTTCACAGAGACTTAGTGAGACACTTTGAGGAAAAGCACAGAGGGAGCCCACCAGTCTTTTCCTGTCATATGTGCACTTTCAGTACACATGAGTTCTCCTACCTTCAGGTTCATCTTTTAAGCCACAAAGACACTTTTTCTAGTTGCAGCGTTTGTAATGACAATGTTCAACGCACATGGCCTGAATTCAGCGCACACCTGACTATGTGTCACTGCCAAAATGACAAATATTCATGTGAAATGTGTCCAAAATTCTCCACAGGCGATGTTAGAGTATTTTTAGGGCACATGTATGCACATAATCTGGGCCTGGACGGAGCCAGTGATGATCTATCGCTGCACACAAAGGACAAGAATAAGTTTGGGCCCAAAACAACCACTCAAGCTTTGCGTTGTCAGCACTGTGGCTACGAGGCATCTCACAAATTATTGATTACGAAGCACATTAAAGCCGCCCATGTTAGCCAGAACGGTAATCAGAGGAAGAAGAAAAAGAAGGAGGTTCATTCCATAGCGAGTGACCCAATCCCAAAAATTAAGCCTCGATTAACAAGAAGTGCAGTTAGGGAAATGTGCTGGCTGACACAGGACTGCCTTTCTCTGCCAGGGAGAGAATTCCTGGATAAATACTGCCATCTGTCAGATCCACAGACAACACTAGAGGAGACTCAACAGTTTTTGATGAAATCTGTTGCCGGGGAAACCGGTGACCAGAAATGGACCAAGGCTCTTAAAACTGTTTTGACAAATGTCCCTCAAGATATGAATCTTCACCCGAAGTCTGAGAATGGAATAATGTCGAACTCGTCAGATCTTACTGTGCTGACGGTCAAGAACAAGATAACGGTGGCTCAGAACGGTGCTACTTATGCCAAAAAGTTGAAAATGATGACCTCGTCAGATAAGGAAACGGTTTCCCCTGAAAGTGCTGCTGATGATGCTCATTGTGTCGTTGACCAAAATGGATGTCAGTCAAATTTGAACGATCATACGCCTTGTCCACAGACTGAAACCAAACTCACTAACGAGGTCTCGATGCCAGCGGAGAATGAGCTGTCTGAGTGCGCTCAAATGCAGGAAAACTGTGAGAATCAGAAATTACAGACTGATCAGAAAGTCGAGGAACATGGTCAAGGAAATGAGGAGCCTATGCATGAGGACGGGGTTAAAATCTCCAGTGAGCTGAAGTTGACAAATGATAGCGAAGAGCCGACATCCGTTCATAAAGTTGTACCAAAAAATAAGAGACGCAAAAGAAGACGAAAAAGAAAGGCCCGATCTAAAAGAGTGAATAAAATATCAGCAGGATTGGCCTTAAAGATAGTTTTGAAGAAGAATCCGGTGAAGGAGAAGCAGTGGGTGTCACAAAGCTCTTTGTCTCCATCAGGAGGGGGTCCGACGGATGATGGACTGCCGATCCCTCGTACAACATTGGAGGAGACGGTGCCGATTCTTCAAAATGAAGTAAACCAGCAGAAACGGACAAAAGCTTCCAAGACTGACCCGCACAACCCCTCTGAAGCCATCACTTCAATTCCTCGATCGAAGCCAAGAGAAGAACTAACCCCTAGTTGTGCTGCAAAGCCAATGGGGTCTAAGAATATAGAAGGAAACTCGGCTGTCACGCTCGAAGGCTCGCTGTCAACGCATCAAGAAATGCAAGACGAGGCAGAGAAGTCACTGCAATTCCTGGAAACCAAAGTTGACGTGAGCGGTTTAGCTGGTAGGACAGGCCAGTCGAATTCAAGGGCTGCAGCCGTGACTGAAGTAGAGGTGGTGTGCCCCGAGAGCGCACGGCTCCAAACATCAGGCAGTGGCAGGGGCCGCCATGTGTCGGACAATAAGATGAGTACAGCCTCTGATGGAGTGACTCCTCGTAGCAGTTACACCAAGTCTTCCCCTGCTTCCCAACCTGTTATCACACCACAGGGTAAGATGGCAAATTATAGTTTCTGCATAGACATAATGGTTAATGATTTAGTATGCAGTGGCATTTTCTTGACATACATTTTATTGTTCAGTTTACATTTTACAACCAATAGCAAACCTGTCTGTTTTGAAACAAGCATTTTCACCTTTTGTCTTGCAGATGAGATAAACTCTGAAGATGTAAGCCTTGCCCTCTCTTCAGAGCAGAGTGTCGAGTCGATGAGAGACAGAGAAGTGCCTGCAAACTCCTGCCCAGATCTTCTCAGCAACACCAACCTGCCTGCAGGGAAAGCCATCCAACAGGAGCCATCACCAGCCCCTGGGCACCAGTGGCAGCTGGTCCCAAAAAACCAGGAGAGGACCCTGAAGTTAGTAGCCATAAATCCATCTCAGTTGGTAAAGCGTCCAGCGGGAGACCAGCCCGTTGTGGTGCTAAATCATCCAGACGCTGACATCCCCGAGGTCGCCAGGATTATGGAGGTCGTGAACAGATACAGAGGGGAGGTGCAGAAGGTCTTACTGTCACAGAGGACCGTGAACGCGCTTTCAGCTATGAACAGCAAGCTCCCTAAGACGGATGACCCGACGGATGCCCGACCCGATTCTGCCAGGCATGGGAAAAACTCTGTACAGGAGAGGTTCATGTTGAAATTGAAATTTCGTAGGTTGAGCAGGAAAAAGTACGAAGTGGTCGGCGTGACCTCTCCCAGCAGGGATGCCGCCGCGACCAAGTTTCGCTGCTGGTTTTGCGGCAGGGTCTTTGCAAGTCAAGAAACGTGGATGGTCCATCGGCAGCGACATCTGATGGAGTGGAAAAGGCCAAACTGTGAAAACTCTTAAATGTCGCATACACTGGATGATATACAGCCTGGAAAAAGATGACTTTGCAATACAACAAAACAATAATGGAAACGCTGATAGCCAGGCTCCTCATTTATTTTTTTTAAAGTCTTAATTATGATTGGTCGTTTTTTGAGGAGAATCACATGATTATCTCGCTTCCTGGAGGGTTTACATTCTCAGGGTAATTTAAACATTTACCTGTTGTCTCTCTCCCAGTTTGAGTAGCTGCAAACTCTTATGTAGGTTATTTGCAAAGCCACAAGGACGTGGTCTGGATCATTTAGTTGTTTGTATTGTTTGTACTTTGTCTACGCAATAGCTTTATTTAAGGTGATTTAAGTACACTGTCTTATGGAATCTTTTTATAGAACACTGTAATATGTATATTTGCCATAACACCTGAATTTTATGAATCAGTTATGTACGGGTAGGCTATACAGCGTGGTAGCTATCATATTTATGTTTCTGGAATGGGACGCAGAGACCCACAAGTTACTCAGATATACCAAAACTGTGTGTTTAAAAAAAAAAAAAAAAAAGACAATAAGCTGTTTTATTCAACATTTATTTATGACTTTTAGGTTTAGCCTTTATATGCTTTTCTTTATGCTTCTTTGGGCCATTGGAAGAATCGGTGCATTTATATTTTTTTTGTATAATAAAATCCAAATTATGTTCAAATATAGTATTATCTGTAAGGTATATTTTGATGCTTTCACTCAGTGGAAGCAGATTTCCCTAAAGACACGATTGATTTAAAATAGTAAGCCTGTGTTTGTGGCGTCGATGAAATACTAGCAAAATGACTTCTTTTTAAATTTAGATTGAAGAGGCCTAGATAATATGATCATGTATATTTTTCCAATGAGTTTCCTCTCTTTTGACTTGAAATGATAATCTTATCTTTTAATTGCACTATGAAAGGAGGATTTATATTTCCCGTTACCTCACCTTATCAGGCCTAAGCCTTTGACAATCTCAACCAGTGTCCTCCTGTGGCTAAACATTTCCTTATGCAGCCATGGTCCCTCAGTATTCTCAGCAAGGGAACTGTGGCTCCTGTGTGTGTATGTATGTGTATGTATGTGTGTGTGTTAGTCAATGACCATTGGACAGATGCACCTGTCCCGTGTGCTGATGTTTAGCATCTATTCTTGTCTCTGGAGCGCACACCTTAGTGTCAGTAACTGTGTGTGTGTGTGCGTGTGCGTGTGTGTGCTTTTTTCAATTTAGATAAGAGATTTATAATTGTGTATATAGTCCAGATAGAGGTACTGTAAAATATGACCTGAGAACTTTCACCAAGTGCCTAGGATGTTTTGTTATGCACAAACAAAGCAAATGTGCATGAGTATCATAGCATTACTTGTTGACCACAAAATAAAAGAACCAGTTTGCCAGTTCCTGGTGGCATTGTGTGATGACTAGAGATGTATGCAACACAGGAAGTATTTTATTAAAACAAAATATACAACCTTGTATTTTTGGCTCCCCAATGTATTGCTGTCATCAACAAATTATTTGTCTGCGTGCTGTCTGTAGCTGCAGTAACACTGTCTCGTCCTTTGCATTTATTTTAATACACTGTTTACTGACTGAGCATTTAAAAAAAATAAACATTTTAATAAAACATGAGTTAAAAAGTCTTCTGAGTCAGTGCTACTTAAACTCTGCATGGCCAGCAATGCAGAAAAGTGCAGGACCTCAAATTAACAATGAGGGAGGAGGAAAGCATCAGATAATGAGTTCTGTAAACAGCAGTCTGACAGTAAACACGGCGGGTTTGGATGCACACGTCCAATCACTTGGCTGTTTGCCATCAGCGAGGTTCATCTACGGCTTAACGGGGTAGCACAGTTTGGTGGCGTCCTTGGTGTTGCTCTGGCTGTCAATCAGCACCAGTGGATTCCTCTGATGGTTCACGATGATGTGGGAGACGCTGCTGAAATACTGGGAAAAAAAACAGGATGACGAGTTAAACTTAGAATTAAAAGTCGAAATATCCTTGAAATCACCAAATAAGGTTCATGAGCTGAACATTTTACTAATGTTGCACAAACAGGATGCAACATATTCCCAAAATTTAGTTGAGATGATTATTACTGATTAATAAGTCAAACAAAGCATTGCACTTCCTACCTATACAGTTTTTTTGTATATTTAGTTGATAATGAATAATTTCCTTCTCAGTCTTCAGTATTACTACAATCAGTGTTCCATGACATATAATACAACCCTATTTTTTCTTTGTATTTAGTTTCTTTCTATTTTACTTTGTTATTTTATGTGTCTTTCTTTTTTCTTATCTGCTGTGTTGTAGCTAGAACTGCTGTAACAAGTGAATTTCCCCAGTGTGGGATCAATAAAATCTTATCTTACATTTCTGAACAAAATAAAATTCTGTGTTTTTTGTAGGCCATGGTGACAGTCAAACACAGTTAAAATGAGTCTTCCACTGTACCTCCTCCCCTTTCTTCTCTCTGCCCAGAGCGTACTGCTGTGTTGTTGGTATATAGCGGATTGGGATGTTGTACACTCTGTCGTTGTAGAACACCACTAACGTGTAGGGCTGTTGCGTGTCCTGACCGGAGCTCTGCCTCACCATGAACGCCCCATCCTGAAAACACAAAGCACTCACAGTCAAACCCAGCAGGGGGTTATGGGATATAATCCACATGCTGCTCGCTTGGATGACTGTGCCCTCACTTTATTTGAGCGAATCAAGACATCATCAGCAGTCTTGCGGTCACATGCGCTGGCATACCATGGTTTCTTATAGACATCTGCGTCCTGAAATAATAAGTAAATGTAGAATAGTTAAAAGTATTTTAAACCGTTACTCTGCATATACTGTATGAATATAGTTAAGTCCTTCTTTTCATATTCATTTTCACCTTATCTTGATCTATTGACCCATTTTCAGAAGAAACGCTTCCTCTGTCTCCTGCTTCTGGGACAAGAGACACACACATTAAAATAATTCAGTTTTGTTTGATAATGTGGGATGATGCTTTTGAATTTGAGTTTTTGAAGCACAAAACGTGTGTGCCTATGGGTGTTAACCTGCTGTGAGACACAAGCAGGGGCTGTACTTACTGAGGGAGGTAAACTGTGGGAGAGGAATTCTGCAAGACAGACCACAAACAGAGCCAACCACAGTAAATACACAGCACAAAGCTGCGATTAAAGGCAATTTTCCTCAGTTGAGAAGCGTTAAAAATGCGTGTGCTCGGTATAAATATAATGCATAGCGTAAAACTGCATTTTACATTTCTTACTTTGGCCGTTTCAAGTCCAGCGTAAAAGCTTTTGGTGGAGGCTTCTGCTCAGTTTGTGTCACAGGCAGCGTTCGGCCTGTGGAGAACCAGACGGATGGTAATTCAAGCTTTTTAGTAAGAAGTAGTCAAGTTGAACATGTCACTAGTTTTAAATAGTTGTTTGATACTGCACATCTTTAATCTGCCACATTCCCCTTTACTTACTTACTACAGGTTTCACTGTATTTCACACTCATAAAACTGATTTCACAGTGTTTAATACAATCTCAATTCGGTGTGACTAATAACGTGTGATATTATGTAGTAGAATCTGAATTAATGTAATGTACTTACTTTCAAATTCCCTAGGTTTTAAATCCGGCCTCTGCAAACAAGTCATATTTAATGATTTATAGCATATATTACCAAATACACTTAATTTTTTACACACATCAGCTGATCACATAAAAACAAAGTAACACAGTAAAACCATTATGATTGAATGTGTTATTTCGAACTATGATTTTCTTACTGGCTTTACAGGTGGTTTCGGTGACCTCCTGAGAGAGAGAAAAAAAGAGATGATCAGACAATCTGTTATTCCCTTTAAAAAGCTTAAACAGCTTACAGTATATATAATTAGGTAAGTGGTGCTTACTCTCTGGGCAAAGGTTTGGGTAGGCGTAGGGGAGGACCCTCTACAGGTTTATCATGGGAACCTAGAGGAGCACACAATGTCACAACAGTCATATGTTTCTATTGTTCATTTACTGTAGGGAAATCCATTTTTCCTCTTACCCCTAGTCATCCTCTAGATGGTGCAACATGCTAGAATGATTCATAGTAGCTTTCTTCATAAAAATACTTATTGTTTGATTTAATACTCACTATCATCTGGATCACAAACTTCATATTCATCTTCGCCTGTGGGCTCCGGAACCTGGAAAATCACAATACCAATATGTCAGTGTCCTCATAACTGTGCAGCATACATTAAATCTCTGCAAAACACCACATTTAAATTACATCTTACACATTTGTCATCACTTACAGTAGTAGGAGATCTCCTCATATTTATTCTGAGGAAGAAAAATAAGTAATTATTAGTGAAGTTATATGAAAGTTTGTAATATAAACAATGTAATAATGTCAAGTTGCACTTAATTAAGTTTCAATAATGACACATCTCTCAGGCCTCCGAATGACATGTCAGTGCTACCTGGGGCTGGGTTTCGGTGGTAAAGAATGCGACTGCGTTGTGGGGACTGGAAATGGTCTGCAAGGTAGATGCAAGGAGTGATTCAGTCTCAGACTGTAGTCAAAATGATTTCTAAAATATTTTATATTCATACAATTACATGAGTGAACCAAGTTGAGACAGTCTCACACTGACCTGCGTGCTGGAAGAGATAATGACTGCTCCTGTAAAGAGGCCATAAAAAGGAACCACAATGAATTCCACATATAAATGTAATGTATAAAAAATACATGTAATTGCTGTTACATAGAGAGCCTACCTCTTTGTCAGGAACTTCATAAAGGTCTGAAAAATAATCAAAGCCAAAATTAAGCACATAGTTGAACCACAAAAGCCTCATTCTGGTGCTGGATCGCATTGTTTTCGTGACAAGAGTAGCTGCCCTTGGGCATTTTTCTGTGTTTGGACTAACTGCTTTTCTCTCATTGTATTGTACTTACAAAGACGTCACATGCATTAGCCTATGAGCTGTTCATTCAATAATATAATAGACACAATGAGGCCTCCTTTTCCTGTGTTTAGCCATGCTAGCAGCGTGGCTCTAAGGATGGTTATTAGTCGGTAAACCACTTTGGTCCAGATTGGATGGGCAAATTGTAAAGGATTGGTGTTTATTCTAAAGGATAAACACCAAAAATGTTCACTTATCCAGTGAAATACCTCAAGATCTACTTGTTGGATCAGCACAAAAGTTTGTACTGACATCATTCTTGCCCTTCTTTGTCATCCTTAGGATGACATTTAATAATGTCTTTACTTTTAATTTCAATTTGCCCAGTACTTTGGTTTATAACTGTGCTTGGAGATACGTGATACAGCCGACAGTGACAAATTGTCCTCCTGGATGCACATTCTTCACATACATTTTATAATCTTTATGTACCAGAAGAAAATTTGTATGAAATGTGATTTTGTTGCTCTGTTCTGTACACCTGACATCTACTGTAGCTCTTCTTGAGGTTTCTTCCATCTTTTCCGGGGAGTTTTTCCTCACCCGTATCGAGGATCTAAGATGTTAAAATGTTGTACATATTGTAAAGCCCCCTGAGGCAAATAGCGATTTTGAGATCAATAAAATTTGTCTTGACTTGAGTAATTAAATATAATCATACAAGCAGTGGGCTCACCATGTTATATCATGAACATAGAGGGTTTGATTGCAAAAGAGTTGTGATGAGACTGAGTAAAGCTTATTAGGATCAATAAGTCTAAGTTGTGTTTAGGTACAGCATGATTATACCTACCAGGACTGGGTGGACCTTTTAAAGGTGTACGCAACATGGGAAGGTCCCTCCCTGCTCTGCTTCCACTGTGTATGATGGGATCTGAGGAAGGGCATGGAGATGTTCTTTAGTTATTATTATCATTATATTTTTTGATAGTATTAGTCCTCGCAGCAGAAGTATCCATATCAGTGACTCTCCCCTCTCTAATTTGTTGTGTATCTTACTGGAAGGTGGGTTCTCTGCGGGTTCTACGTAGTTATCATCATCGTTACTGTCTGGAGTGATGTAGTCCTCCTACACAACAACAAAGACAACATATTGTGTCAGCCATCCACGCTCAACGGAAGGTATTTGCCAACACGGAGGAGATGGCGAAATTAACCAAGACACAGTAATGTTTGTGGAAGTCTCAGCACAGCACAGGCCTGCAGCACAGTATGTGTGTGTGAGCTCAAGGTGGGGAAACAAAGTTGCTTTACTTCATCACTCCCTGTGTGGGTGGGTTCAGGGGGCAGTTGTTTGGAGGGTTTGCTTGGGCGGAGGGGCTTCCTGGGTGGCCGCTGGGGTCGGTTATGGCAGCTGTCTGGAAAGGAGAAGCAGAAGCAGAAAGAGGACATAGGCATTTGCATGAAGCATCATTCTGAAGCCATCTGCATATTGTGGCCATGGCTCAACAGCGTCTACTGAGGGGTCTAAATGAACCAAATTCATCTTCAGCAGAAAGAGAGAGAGATCACTGCAAAGGAGAAGTGACTAGAGATATAGAAACCGAAAATGAATCAAAGCTCGTGAATTTTGAATTTCATCATGAGGGTAGCTAATTATGTTGCCATAAAAGTCAACACTCAGGCATTTATTGTGAAATATAATATGTTTAAAGCACGGATATAAATAGTTGTTTTTGTCAAGTGACTGTACCGACCGACATACTCCCCCCTTGGGAAGGAAGCAGAGGGAGTTGTGGTGAAGACTTTGTGGCTGGGAGGAGGCTCGTAGCTGTCATCCTGGTCCTCATGTGGATCCTCGTATGTATCATTATCCTGGGAACAACATACTTGTAATGTTTCAAACAAATATCAGTAGTTTAAATGGCTTACAACTCACAATTTCCCCAACTTACATAATCAGGGTCAGACCCTTGGTCATCATCTGTGAACACAGAAATTGAAAAGGATTTCATTACAAATAAGAAAAAATGAGTCTGAAATAGGTCCTCAGTTTGTGGAAGTAAACTTTTGAATTGTGGATTTTATTAAATTCTGCTGCTGCCCAAAAATATTAAATACCAGCATTTAATTCCTCCGAGCAGGTGTCAGAGCAGGTTTTCTAATTTTAGCTTCTCTGTTGAGGAACCAGTGGAGCGTGCCTCTCACCTCTTCAACAACTGCATCATCTCTCAACAAGTGGTTTTATCTCTGTTTCCATGATGCAATTTGAACAGAAGCTGCTGTCACTAAAACAGCGTGTTTATCATAATAACACCTGGAAACAGGCATAGGGATATCTATTAAGCAACAGGTCATTTCATTTTTGGTACTTTAAATATATTTTACTGATGATACCTTTGTACCTTCTCTTTTCCTGTTGTGTACTTTGTTCACTTTGCAATTTAAACCATCAATGTGTGCAAGCAATTTGTCATCATTAAAGATTCCCTCCAGACATAAGACATATATACAGTCTGTTGGAACAATAATGTGTATCTGATATGCTTTGGATATGCAACGTGGAAGTATAATTTCCACATTGAAACCCTTAAAGGTCCAGAGTGTAACATTTAGCAGGATCTCTTGACAGAAATGCAATATAATATTAATAATATATTATAAGAATAGTTGTGTTTTTGTTAACTTAGAATGAGATATTTTTGTCTACAGAGGGAGCTGCTCGCCTTCCTTGTTGAGTTGTCATGTTTCTATGGTAGCGTAGAGCAGACAAAGCAAACACTGACTCTAGAGAGGGCCTTTCACAGTTTCCGCAAATTTGGAAGCCACCGTAGTTGTAATCAGCAAGTACACCACTATATGCCACCCTGGTGATTACATGTGAACGCCCCTATCTAGAGCCAGTGTTTGGTTTGTTTCTTCTGGGCTACTGTAGAAAGATGGCAGTTTATATTATACGAAGATATAAACATAGTTATGCATATTATTTTACATTTCTGGGGCATGTACTCCTTCTACCTCATTAAAAACTCCAGAATATATGAATATTCATATTTTGTTTATTTCTAAAGTTTTCCTGCTGGACACAAGATGTCTCCTACTTCACTGTAAAGTCCATTCTCAGTGGATGTGTACTGGTGTCTTCAAGTTCCTACATCACATGTGTGATACAGTGTACACTGTATAGGTTACTGGACCAGGTTAGTCAGTTATGAAAGACTAGGTTATATCTCTGCACTGTATTTTTCTCAAGTTTGTCTTAAAACAACACTCACATTCCCATATGCACACTAAAGAAGTCCCTGTAATAACTAGAGGTGTTGAAATTAATCAAATAATCGAGGCATCACGATGCAGACATGGACGATGCTGCATCCATAATCGATTATAACGCAATGATGTCGCTCGTTAATTTTCCAGCCACGGCATAACCATTCAAATGAAAAATAACATTCTCAGTAGCCTAACCCGTTTCATCTAGACCAGTACTTCTCAAATAGTGGGGCGCGACAGGCAGGGGGGACTGACGGGTATTGAACTATACAGTATCTTAATGCATTCCGTCAAGTCAAATATCCTATATGGCTTTAATAGAAAAATGTATTTGAAGCATCGTGATGCATCGAGGAATCGAATCGAATCGCTGACGTGATAATCGTAATCGAATCGAATCGGGAGATCAGTGACAATTCACACCTCTAGTAATAACCCATCCTGTCCATAATGAATGGTAAAAGATTTCAGTGACACAATTCCAATGTTAGTGATGGGGTCCAGCAAGTTTATATGAGGTTCAAATCTTCCAAAGTTTGACTCCTTTCAGTACCAGATCTTCTCTTTGTTTCCTACAATGTGTCTCTGCTGAGCTTCGGTGCTGGGTTAGCGACATAAAGAAGGGAATTTTGTACTCGAGACTAACTTTGGACGATATGACTTGATTTAGCTAACTCAGACTCAGAATGAAGACTCTGAATCACTAACACTGGAATTACGTTGCGGATGTCTTTGTGGCCAGTATGGAGAGCTAGAATTCTTTCAGTGCAATGTACATATAGGCTATTTGAGCGTTGTTAATAACCACAATCAGTGTTAATGTTGAATCTACAGACACATATACTTGCCGATTCGCTCACACCATTTCTTGTGGAACCAGTAATAATGACTTTGCCATTATTTTCAGTAATTCATGCTCTTACCTCTGTAATCTCTTGCAGGTACTTTTGGAAGTGGTTTGCTTTTCAATCTGGCATACAGAGAGATATTGACATCAGCAGCAGGCAATGAAAGACTGAACAGTGCTTTGACAATGTGTGTGTAATACAAGATAGTAATTGAGATGTAAATTATTAAAGTGGAATTGTTTGAATAATTACACTTTGGTGTAAAACACATTTCCTAGCACACCTGTGCTGTAAATGTGTAAATGCTCTATATTTGCATAAGTTAGCAAACTGATGTGCATATTTACCAGACAGGATGAGAATAAACGGATACTGTAACACGTGTGTCATTGTGGCTTCGATCCTTATGTGCATTAAGAGGACTCATTTCAGGAAAGGAAAGTGAGAGAACAGCCATCTGTTTAGGTTATTTTTGGTCTGTGGGTCTCTCTCTTATTCCAACCGTTGTGAAAGCGGAATTGACCTTCTTTACTGATGCATGTATAGCCCACACGAAGAATTTTTTGATCACCAGACTTGTCTGCGAGATTTGTCTGCGACTTAACAACAGACTTAAATTTAGACTGATATATTTTCCACTGTGCTTTCTCAACCATAATATTAGGGTGCAGTGAAAAGACTGACCTTCTTAGTTTATTCAGTAAGCTGCCGTCATTTTTCTTGATGTCTTGAACAATTTTCTGAAGCTGCCTGGAAAACAGAAAAGTGACATAGTAAAATTAATCTGAATTTAATTCATTCAAATTCTAACAAGGTTTACATTTGAGTTTTGCTTCATGTAATGGTAAAACATTTGTTTCACCTTTGTGGATAGAAGTCACCAGATGAAACAATGCTTTTACTAACACTACACTGCAACAACTGTGGTTTCATTCTTGTCCAAAGCGCCAGATATAGACATTAGCAAAGCATTAGCAAAAAGCGATATTGTGCCATCGGTCAGCTAAATATCTGACTAATAACTGAAGTTCTTACCGAATCTTTGCTGTAGCAGGAGCAGCGAGTTTACCTAACGTATCCATATTCATGTTTAATCCAAGAGTTTACATTTTTGTCCCTCATTCCCCTTGTGCATTATGTCTGTGCTGCCAGATTGCTTGCAGAAATGTAAATGAACACTGTGTTTGGCTAAGAGTCACGTCTTTGTCATAGAGGGGAGGGAATTTATTCTAGCCACTCAAAGAAAAATCACTTCTCCTTTCCTCTCCCTGTCTCACACACATACTCAAAAACAGATTTCAGTCAACATGCTTTCAACAACGTCTTACATCACATTTCTCTCGACTCTTTTCAGTTCCACTTGCATTCAGACACAACTACTTTACCTGCTGCTGATAGCAATGTATACATCTGATCACCTGAATGGGGTCGCAGGAGGCAGCCTTTAGCTTAGTGTTGTCATGTTTTTGGAATAGCTTTTAGCAAGGTCAGCCATGCACTTATTGGCTTTAATTTCTTAACATTCCATCATCTGCAAAGAATTGTGCCACTGTTTTAAAAGCGTCCTCACTGATATTGTCATTACTGATGTTACTGTTTGACACCCTTTGAATACATACATTTTTAGTTACACATCTTGTTTCAATAGAAGTGTAAGGAGGATGCCTGTTTTTAGCTCTGCAACCGATCTATGTGCAAGGTCATTCATGGTGTCATGGAAAGTACCATGTTGTAATTCTTAGTGTTTTCTATATATGGAAGGACTACAGTGTGTGTGTGGTCACCACATGGAATTTTGTTTTAGTTCTTTTTTGTGAATATTATGGCTCAGCCACTGCGGAGGAGAAACCAGGAAAATGCGTAGTGTGGTATCAAGAATTAAAAGAATTAAAGAAACAGTCTGGATTTTTAAGGAACCAGCTGTGTATGATTCATGATGAGAAAAAGTCCGTTGTCAGCTTTTAGTCACCATTTGGTCTGTGGCTGCTGAGTTGGAAATTAATAAAAACAAATTTGCTTATGAGAGTTTTGAATTCCTGTCACCTTACTTTTCAGTTACCTACTGGAGAGGATTACATTTCCAGTCAGATGTAAGTCAGTTGTTTGGCAGTATGGTGTGGCAATATCTCCAAATCTTCTCCTAGTGTTATGTTAATTTAACTTTCTAAGAGGACCAGTGGACACTTTCAATGCTACAGCAATAATGTGCAACTTCCTGGTTCAACAAGTGTATGATTAACCACATAAAAAGAGGAACTGAGAGTATGAAAGTATGGGAGCCCAGGACTGACAATACCACATACAACAAAATTGAAATGTAATTTTGATTTTGCACCACTAGCCCCACATTTAACCACTTAAACCACTTAAGATGAATGTAAATTACATGATAAGCTAAGTAAAACATTAAAATGAAAACATGGTTGGAAACACTTGTTTAAATCATTACAATTTTGTAATGATTTAAACATAAAATATGTTTTCACATCAAAATGTCAAACATCCATTTCTATGTTATATTTTGTTCAGTTGTGTACTTAAATTATCCCAAATGTTTCTAACAATGTACAAACTCATTTATTCAGGTACCAGTCAGAGAGCGAGAAAGGAAGCCAGCAAACTTACCCAAACGTGAAGTGAATAAAACTTTAATACCACGTCTGTGAACAATTTCATGTCTGATGCATTTTCATGAGCAATAGTGGGTGTTAATACAAATACAGACAATGCATGATCCCACGCTACTTCACCACGTCAGCATGTCTTTTATTGTTGTTTTGATGTGAGAAATGACATACTGTGCATTTAAAGCTTTTATTTAACCATAATAGAAGGTCAGTATTATTTTCCTTTTAGCAATAACGATGCATTTACAAAAACGTATTTCTTTTATTTTATTTTTTAAATGTATGAATTGATTAATTTATTCATCATCTATCATAAATATTAAATAAAAAATATATATGAAAATGGTTACACACACATTACAAATAAAGTTTCGGTTTCCACTTCACTTTAAATGGAATATTAATGTGAGACACACACACACACACACACACACATGGGGATACATGAACAGGAAGAATCCTCACAAACAAGAACAAACACATGCAGCCAAAATGTGCAGGTGCAGTCAGACAAACAAACTCACACACACACACACACACACACACACACACACAGTGTAGGTTTTTATATTATATATACATATTACACACAGGCATATATCATATAACGTCTAGTGTACTAGAATTGATTACTTGGTGATCATGATGATAATAATACTAATAATACTATTATAAGTACTACTTCAGTATATGTTGAGGGTATTAAATGCTATACAGATTGTCAGATCCCTGAGGAAAATTGTGATTTGTCATTTTGGGCGACATAAATAAAATTTGACTTGGCCATCCCAGTGGGTATGAATAGCACTCTAGATTTTGTGAATAAGTGTTACTATATGTTTTACAACAAAGGGAGATATGAGAAGCAAAGAATGGGAGGAGGAAGGTAAGGTGAGCAGAAAGGACGATAAGATTGAGGTGTGTGATGACAGTGGTATAAAAGTGTTACTTACGGTTGGTGGACGAGACTAAACTTGCTCATGTCACTGTCAGACAGGCTCTGTGAAAGCATCAGAGAAATCAACTGTAAACACACAGTGACAAGTTGAACAAAAATGAGAGACTATAGAGTTCACAAATGACTGTGATTCCTTATAGCAGAGAGATGATACTCCAAGTGTGTCACCTTCCCTAAATACATGCATCGGAGCAGTCATTCTATTTGGGCTGCAGCGTGCATCACCTCTTAACTTACAGGAGATGGCAGCATATCACTAAGGGCCATTTCAACAGCACACTTTTTGGACTAATGTAACTAAACTAAACCAAAGAAGAAGAGTAGACACACAACATGGGAGCTGCAGGGTCAGAGAGGGTTACAAACATGATATAAATGCATATATTAATAGATAGAAGCACTTCAGTCTTACAGTTGTAATTATTCTTGGTTAGATACTGCTCCTCGACGGAGAAGTTACTGGAATTTGGTGCCTTGATAAAGGGCTCAAATATAGTATAATGCTCAAGGATGGGAGATCAAAATGAGATCATTTTATTGATGTACTGCATGTGGCTCATTTAATGCTAAAATGTCAGAGTGACACTTGTTTCTAAACTGACATCTCTCAAAAATATAGCAAAGATAAAAATATGTGTTTTAAGTGCTCTTGCCTAGTTTCCCTTGTTAAGTGAATTAAAACTGCTGACCTCCAGCCGAAGCGCTTGCTCCACTAGCCACACAGTATTGACATTGTAAGCACACACACCACCCTGTTACACAATTTCATAAGTCATCAAACATTTAAAACAGTTGATCTGGCTGCCTGCTGCATTGTGATTTTTTTTGGGTTGCATTTAATGTCTGCTTTGCAGTAAGGCAATTGTGATTCGTAAATGAAAGGAAATGATTACCATAAAATATGCAACAAATCCCTCTAAATTATGTATTTCCCTCTTCATTCATAATTCATTGCTCCAGGTCGTTACTTGCTCTGTCTCTTCTCTGTTTTATATTTGTTGTAATGTAAGGAAGATCCATGACAGCAAATGTTTGTGAAAGTTCAGATATTGTGCGTTTAAGTTTGTAAGATGCCAAATGAACAAATAGAGAGAGGCTTGTGATAAGAGGTTAATGTGTGAGGTATGAGTCTAATATGGCTGGTTAATTTAGATATGAATAATGTATGACCGACCCTTTATCTGCAAGGTCTCTTGTGAAACAAATGTAATGATATACGGTTCTGATGCCTACATTTGATTATATAGTGTTTTTTTTCAAAGCTGTTTATGATTTATATGAGATATTCCACAGGGAAGGGCTTGATAATGCAGCTTACTTTACCTTAGTGTGTGAATATGGGAACTGTGGTGCAACAAAATCATGTTTTACTTCTAGGAATAAGCCCATAGTACAGTGAAAGCAGAGCATGTGATTTAATCATTTGTAAATTAGAGAGGGAGATCACTTAATATGAACGGCTTTACCTCCTTCAAAGAACTGAACCTTGGCCTCACAGATACACACTTGATCATCCCACTGACTTACAGGAGAAAAAAACGCATCGGTATAAAATCAGACTTAGCCTTTTGACACCGAATAAAATATCAAATAGTCCGCCCCAGTGGATACTCCCAGGCACTGCTCCCACATTGAATTATTTATAGGAGTGTCTGTGCTTGTTCAAATGAGACACAACAGCTCTACAAGCTGCAGCCTCTCCATTGTACTACAGACCAGGAGCCCTCAATCAAAACAGCACTCGGTCACATCTTCATTTCTTTTTTTTTACATTTTTATAATTTACATGCAGTCCAATTAGCATATGTGGAGAAAAACTACTGTCCCCATGGTCCAGTCTTTTTCTAGCTTGAATTCTATTCTGCAGTTGAGTGATTTGTGTGAAAAGCAATGAATGTGCATGCCAAATTCTGAGCTGAAGATTATTTGAATGAATGCTCCACCGGTCCTTAGTTGGTAGTATTAGCAAGGCTGCGACTCAAGTCAAGCTAGCGGCTCTCTGAGGCCATATTTAAAGGCCCAGTGTGAAGGATTTAGTGGCATCTAGCAGTGTAGTTGCTGATTACAACACCCTTGCATCACCCTCCCATTCCAAACGTATAGAAGAAACTACGGTGGCTGCAAAAATTGCGTAAAATGTGAAAGGCCCTATCTAGAGCCAGTGTTTGGTTTGTCTGTTCTGGGCTACTGTAGAAACCCAGCGGTTCAACATGGTGGACTCAGTGTAAGACCCACCCAGTCTGTATTCAAAATATCTCATTCTAAGGTAAAGAAAGCACAACAATGCTTTCAGGTGATAATACACTAATGAAAATATAGCTACAAATATTATATTCCAATAGATCCCCCTCAGTGTTACACACCGGACCTTTAAGCACAGCTTGATCTAAATGTTAAAATGCTCTAACAATGCTCTCTTACTTTAGTATGTCAACATGCCAACATCTGCTAATAAGTAGTTAACGCAGCTGAGTACAGCTAAGGCTACAGGAAACAGTTCTGCAGATATTTTGAAACCAAAGTACTGGACAAACTACAAATCCGACCTGCTGCTGGCACTGCATGAAAAGTCAGTCTCGCCAAGGTCATCAGGATTCATCTTTTGATCTTGAATGTCTGCACCGAAATCCATGGCAATCCATCCTGTAATTGTTCAGTCTGAACTAAAATGATGGACCAACCGACTGACAGACCAACATTGCCGTCCCTACTTATTGCTGAAGAGACATTCTAAGCCGAAAAACAATGCCACGATTGTTTCTTCTGTCTAAAACGATTACATATAAAAGATTAGTTTTTCCTACACTCTTCACAGTCCGTTCTCATTCCCAGGTCATCAAATACAGCTGCAAGTGGTGTTCAGTTAGTTGCAATCTGCAACTTCACCACTAGATGCCACTAAATCCTACAGACTGCTCCTTTAAATCGTAGTACCTGAAACAAACTAATATACTCAGTATACAAAACATAAGCATGCTCACAATGGCTGGTTCAAAGACGTCTGTGCTGTAGGACACTTCTTCAGATGTTGTGCAAGATCACCTTGAGCCCAAACATTAAAAAATCCCTGGTTACAGCTGCCAAACATTCAAGCACATAACCTTTAAAGTACACATCTTTTGTAGCTTTTCAGCAAGAGTTCGGGGTCAGTGTGAAATCTCAGTTTCACCCAAAAACAGGCAGATGGACGACCACTTTTTGTTTCTGTTCGCATGTGGCTGTCGGTTCTGTTTGAATGGCAAACAGCAAGCAGAGGGGTTGACGCATGGAACATTTGTTAATGCTCTTCTTTGAAATGAGTTTCATTTCACGATAGAAAGAGCAGCTTCGCAGCTACATGCCCACAAAATTACCTTTGGTTCTTTCCCAGCAGCTGTGCAACGTCTCATATCTGTCGTTAGGTGAGCGACTTTCCACATGTTCACAAATCTACACTAAATGTTCCAAAATCACAAGTGTAACAAGCTAATTATGGTTTAAAGTGTTTTTCTCCTTTAAGACACAAATAGTGCGCTCTGTTTCCTTTATAATCCATTACAAAGGGACTGTGGCAAAATTCAAATTAGATTTTGTGAGGCTACAGATGGACTACATTAGCACCTAGTCTCTGTGGAAAATTACATTTGCTCTTTCTCTTTTGCCTATATGCATTTTACAAACCTCCTTTTTTGAGCACATATTTGTATTTCTGTGCATGCCTGATACCACCAACAAAGTAGGCATGTGATATATATGAGTGCATAGGCTGTCCTTTACTGTGAGTGGCCTTTGTTTGTAGTGTTGATGTCATCACAGGCAGGAGTTGAAAGTGACATCCTCGCTCAGCAGCCACACACAGGCAGCGTCACAAAGATAGAGGCTGACAGTTCTTTTGATCTACTACATATCTCTTTTAACCTGTCTACCTGTGTGAGCGAACATGGCATCAAAAAGATGGAGATTGCCTTTATCTACGCTGTGCTGACTGACTGTCATTCCCATCCACACTGTAGTGTACAGCCACCCACCACTCAGACAGAATTAGATTGTTCCTTTTTTTCACTGCTCATTCTTACCACTGTGATGAAGAGATGTTGTAGGAGTAATGTGAAGAAGGTGCATTCGAAGGCAGAGCCCGTTGTTGTCTTATGAGAGCAGTTTAAATCTGCGTTGCCTACTTACTTGAGCATTTTATGGCCTTTGCTCCATCTACTGTATAAACATCATATGAATATGCAAAGTAAGCCAAAGGCAATGCTCAGCAGCACGCTGGCTGGATGACATTCAGAGCCCACAGTACAGACCCTCTCTGGCCTTACACACACGCTGAGTTACTGATGAGTCAAACTGAACTTATCATAAATAATTATTCTTCATTTTCTGCTGTATCGCTGGCTGACTGCTGGCCTACATAGGTTTAAGAAAAATGTTTGTGATCACGCATGTTTAATAAATTCTCAGGGATGCGTCGTAGTAGCATTGGTGCAGATATGTATTATAAATTTAAAGATCCCCTCCAGACATATACAAATATTCTCCTTTTTCTAAAAAAAGAAGTTCAAGACAAGATGTTAACTCCATTCTCATTGTTTGTGTCCTGGAGGTTTCCATATCACTTGTGTACTGGACTCAAATACTGGACCATGACTGGTTTCTAAACTAGTTGTTATGTCACAGAATCATGCTTGAATGTACATGTGAAAGACAAACTTTGCTGCTTCAGATGATGATAAAAACTGTGTCTAGTGTCAAACTCTGCACATTCATTATTTTAAAGAGTGTGTGGTTTTAAGAAAACATCTTGTAATGTAAATACAAATAAATATCTGTTTTAGTTCAGTCAAATTTATAAAATAACTGTGATCCAACCTTCTAAAGCATCAAAGTTTACAGTTGCTGTTGTAAAATCCTCTTGCAACAGGAAGTGACATTTCATTGCCAGAGGCAACAGCAGCTTGTTTGTCAGAAATAGAAGAGGAACTGGATAGTTCCAATGAGCAACAACACTCATAACTGAAGAGGTAAAGAGTGCCACCTACTGAAACTCACTTCATCATCAGGAAATCCAAGAAAAAACATTTCTCATACTTACAGTAATTACTTTTTAGAGCTGCGGATGTCAAAACAAAAATCTATGAGGATGCAGATTGCAGATTAAATATTAACACCGCTCTGTCTAAAACACATGGTGTGGTAAGGACAAGGTACAAGGACACACACTTTATATATACAGAAGGCTCTCTCGTGACAGTATAATGGTCAATCCATCAGCTAACTTAGTAATTCTCAAACCTCTCTGTCTTATCCCCCTTCAGAAGAGCACTTTTATTTCTTTATGTCACCACATTAATCATATTAATACAACTTTAGGCTGGCTTAGCATTCATCCTCCTGGTAATTGTTTTTTTCCTACCTGCCCAGGGACAACAGATGCAAATTAGCTGTTAATTCTGGTGCAATTACTTTTAACTGTGCGCTGTCCCTGCAAAAATAAACAGTACTACAGTAGCTTTACAACCCCACAGGGGGCCCTCTCAGGGTTTGAGGATCACTGAGCTAACTATTTGTAACTAACTACAAATGTTCAGAGGTTGAAAAAGTACACACATCCTTTACTTAAATAGAATTAGAAGATACCTGTGTAAAAATAGACTCTAGTAAAAGTAGTACTGATCCAACTTCTTTACTCAAGTAAAAGTGAAAAAGTACAGGCTCCAAATGAACTTCTGGTTTCTCCGAAGGACATTTCTACCAGCTCTTTCTGTGCAAAGCTAACTGAAACTTCGAATAGGATATACAATATAGTGGAGGTGAGGGGGGTTGGGTTCCTCCTCCCCAAAATGTTATTTGACTACAGATTATTATTATGAGAATATTTAAAAAAAACACACAGGTGGTAGTTCTTCACATTACTGGATTATGATTTTTTTATGTATAAATATAACTAAATATTGTTTCTAGAGCAGCAACAGCAACAACAGCAAATTCACTATAAACTCAATGATATCTCACTGGAAATAAATCTAGAATGTCAGTAAAATAAATCATATTTCTGACACATAGACACCAGTCAGTACCAGTCCTTCCTCCTGTCCTCTCAGATTAATGACAAACCAACACTTAGACTGCCGACAGACGGCTTTATTCATTATTAGATTAACAAGAATTGTCGCCAAGTTGAGTAAACTGCACTGCGTCTGTCTGTCTGTCTGTCTGCCTGCTCTATGTGTGTGTCTGGAGCTGAGCCCTGCCCTCTGTCCTGCAGAGAAGAGAAAAGAGAAGCGCGAACATAAAGGAAGCAAAATGTTGTAACACTAAGCCCTGCGCCCTGTATGTATGACTATTATGATCCTTAGGCTGTTTTGGTGCCCTGCACACAGTGCATCATGCAGGGTGAGTTGGGTGTGTAGCGGCGGTGCTGTATTCATCAATAATTCCTCTCAAATATATTGAAACTAAAGTACCAAGCCTGTTTTGCAAATGTAAGGAGTAGAAAGTGCTGATATTTGTGGAAAAATGTAGCGAGTGAAAGTAAAAGGTTGTCAAAAAACATACCTGAAAAAACTTCTTATACAGTAGAGGTAGGAAGTACAAATACTCTCACCTCTGCAAATGTTGTTAAATTGACTTTCACTTAATTTATTACTATAATACCCGATTCAATATTAAGACTCTCCATCATTACACATATGCCTAATTTGCCTAAAGAAGAGTATCTGTACACGATTTTATGGCAATCGATCTAATTGTTTTTGAGATATTTCAGTGGTGGACCGACTGATTAACGTTACCATTCCTAGAGCCACGCTGTTACCAAAGTCTTCAAAATTGATCGTCTGGGGACCTTGAATATTTGCCGCGAATTGCATGCCAATCAATTAAACAGTTGAACCATATATTATGTCAACCTTGTGGCGGCACTAAAGGAAAAGTCAGGTAATCAAAAAAATCTTCATGCCAATCCATTCAGTAGTTATTGACATATTTCCGTCTGGACCTAAATGGTAGACATTATTGCCATAGAGTAACAGCAAACAACAGTACACACAACTAGGTGGAAAACATTTTTAATTGATACTGTATGACTGTGAATGTCTATCAGACTCTGCAGCCTTGAAGCTGGTTGAATTCAAGTGTGTGCACCCAGTGGTTCAGCTATGGTGAAATATTCTTGTTCAATACTGCATGGGTTTACCTAACTTTAATAGAGGCCAGGTGTGCTGGCTGTATCTGTAGCTAGGGGATCTATCAGTCAATACACATACTGTATGTATATGTATTTTTCAGATCTAACTTGCACATCAAAGCCTCTACTCTGAAACATTATTCACCGATAAAAATCCACAGCGAGCATATTTGAGGGGAGATAAGCCTGTGAGATACAGGGGAAATATTTCAATGATGCAATATCCCACCTAAAATAGAATCAGTTCAGGGTCAGTGAATAATGAATAGAAGAGTAGATTGTTGCTCTCATTTGTTTGCGTGGCAACAAGTGTTTATAAGTGGCCACTAGAAAGATGCATATAAATGGAGGCTTCTACAGGCATGCAAATGCACAGGAGGTATGAGTGAGATATTATTAGGCTCCCTTACAATAATATCAGGAAATTATAAACCCATGCTTCAGTTATTTAACTGCACAAAATCCTCTTTAAGCAGTTCCCCCCACGCCCATGACTGTAGCAGATTTAATGATACTTACTTAAATAAGTAGGGATCACAGCTTTATTTTTTAGCCCTAAGTCTCATTTCACACTTCTTACTCTCTCCCAAACTGACACAGTTTTCACCTGCATGCAATGTGTCAGTGTGCGTCTCAGGAACATCGTCATGCCCTCGTAGATTGCACACCCAATGTGGATGATGGAGACAAAGCAATAAGTCATATCAAAGCAGAAGTTGCAACTGATGTACTCACTTCCATATTAGGAGGGCCGCTGATTACACACCAAAACAGTGTGGGAAGTACTATGTGTACATGAACTAACACTTCATGTCACGTTTCATATCCTGTAAATTCCCCCCCGTTTTTTAAACTTGGACATTTGTACAGGACTTAATGTTCATAGTAAAGTTTATTCTTTAATCTATTAAAAGAATTCAAAACATTTTTGAAGGTTTAGGATTTATCTATATCTAAAAGAACAAAAACAACTTATGCAATCTCATTTGACTTTAAAAGAGTGAAAATGTTGCAAATGTTCAGCATTGTAAACTGGATTTTCACTTTCAGATTTATAGTTGTTTAAACAGGCACAAATAGCTCAAGGAGATGTAATTATTCTGCTGTTTTTAATACCATAATCATAATAATAAATTCTAGGGAGGATTTGTCCAATTTTATGTAATTAGAATAACGAACTGAACACAACCACAACCCAGATATGATCCTGAACGGATTAGTAGATTATGTAACTGCAAGAGGGACAGAACGAGCATTTCCTGGAAAATTCAGGTGAAAGAAGGAAAATGAAGGGATTAACTCACCAAAAGTCTCTGTCCATCAATCTTCAGTCTGTTTATAGTGACAGCACACTCTTGCATTTTGTTCTAAGGGCAGTAAACACATATTGATTTAGTTTACTGAATGAACAACACAGATAAACTGAATTTAATTCCATAGTACTTGTCTCCCTGTCCTGTTTTGAGTATGTTTGAGTGTACTCAAACATACTGTACAGATACAACATACCTGATAGCTAGAATGGACCACTAACCTTTAAAATGATGAGAAAATAGGTCAGCATGCCATCTAAGCCACTTCTAGTTTTCTAATTTAGAATTTTTTCTTGTACTCACCTTGCACATAAAGAGGGCTAGTTGAGCCTGGTCCCAGCCCTCGCACTCCTCTCTGGACGGCAGGTTCATTTTTTTCTCAACAGGGAGCCTCTGAGCAGGAGTGTACTTTTGGAAGTACAGTCATAGACTGACCCGTCACGCACCACTGCTCCAACACACCGGCCTGCCTCAACATGGAGAAGTACACACAGGGAAGTCACCTCATTAAAACCAACACATATATCTCCGTCTTCTCCTTCATCCATAAGTTATGTGGCAATTCGTGGTATTTTCAAAAAAATCTAAACTTGTCCCCAAGATTGCATTAAGGCATCTGCAAAAGGGAAGAAGGGACTTCCTCAAAGTCACTCTATATTAAAGTCTTCAGAAACAAAAGTGTCATAATAGAGTGTGTGGCTTTACTTTTACCTCCCAGCTCGGGAATTCACTTCATTTACAGGCAGAGTGTGTAATTTATTGTACATTTATTTTTATATCAAGGTTTGATCATGTTTAAGGTTGCAAGACTATTCGGACCGTACAGTGAGGGAAATGATTGCTGAAGTGGTAATAATAGCTGCACTATCTGTAATGAAAGGCATGTGTAGAGAGTGTGTTCATTCAACTTTTGGAAATTTAATGAAGACAGGAAATAGGGTGTTTTTTGTTGACTAGCATTTCTGATACAAGAAATATGACTGTGATCAGGCATGTCAGAGGAAGAGAGATTTAAAAATATGATAAAAAAAAGACTTCAAATTAAATGAATTTTTCAGTTTTTATCAGATTAAGACATGTAGTGTTGGCGATAACAAAGCCGTACTGGAAAATGTAAAAATTCAAATATTACTTTTGGATATATCAGTCAGTATTCAAAATATGAGTACTGGTAAGTCAGAGAGGACGTCTCAGGCTTAGAAGAGGGACAGACAAGTATCTAACTTTAAATTTAAAATGGATATTAAAGGAATAGTTCAACATTGAGGGAAATATGCTTATTTGCTATCTTACAGGGAATACAAAGCAATCCCTTGCAGCCAAAAGGAGAAAAACTAGGATGTGTGTGTCAGGTAACATTAAAAAACGTACCGACGGACATTCAGAGAAAGTTTGCCAAGATATGCTGTTGCTGCGACGTTAGCTATAGTAGTGGGAGTGTGCTGGCTCTGGGAAACCATCTTGTCCTCTCTGTATGTTCGCTGTGCAGCAGCAACCTTAGCGACAATATGCAAACCCACAACATAGCTCATTTGCATTACATCGTCGTACGTGTCACGGTATTGGATATTTCCACAAGCTTTTAAAGTGCTGGTGGATTTTGTTAGCTTTGGACAGCGCCAGGCTGACATTAGCTGTCTCCATACAGAGTGGTACATCTTGTATTGAGGAGTGGGCATTAAAGGGACACTTCACCCATTTGCATTAAGCTTTGTATCATTAGAACCCCAGTCATATTTTTGAATGGTCGTGCATCATTCCCTCACTTTCCCTGAGAGGGGAGAAATAAGGATTTTAGTGTTGCACTTCCTGCTTCCAATGATGTTTAAAAATCGTCATTTTGCGTCATTGGAAGCAGGAAGTCTCATATCTCTGTAGAGGGGGTGAGACTACAAACACTACTTCCTCATTTTTTTTTCACTCACGCTACAGACCTATTACAGATCAGTGGGTGGGACTTCACCTGCACAAACTAAAAATATAACCGCCATCTTGTTTGGAAGCTAAGTGGAGGCGCTGTGGAGCCAGACGTTACGACGATGTTAATCAATCTAATATGGAAGACATTTCGAACGTATGATGGTCGAATCAGATGTTCGTGGCCTTTATGAGCCGCTATATAGCGAGCAGCCTGTGCACCTACGGACACACGGACGTCTGACTGTAAAGTGAGTGTTTCTATTTTCTGTCTTATAACAACGTGGCATGTATGTACACAATCTGTTCAAGCATTGTCACGAAGTTATTCCCGGTTAATACGTGACGTCAGCCAACTGATCTAACGTTAGCTTCTTTACTGCACAAACAGCTTGTGGCACGCTAAACACAAAGACCATGCATCTCTAACTGTGTGCTCAATGTCTTGTAGACAATATCGCCTAACAGCCTTTCTGGAATGGGTCCTGCAAGGCGAGAGATTGGGTCGAGGCCATCGTGTCGTTTTACCCGCTGATGTGGTGCAGGCTATCCGACAGTACCCAGCTCCAGATGGCCAGTACTGCGGCACCGAGGAGTTGAGGACGCTCAGGAGGAACTATAACTGTCATTGTTAACATATTTATTGTTGTTGTTGTTGATATATTTCTGTAAATAAACGGTTTACATTGTCGTTGTAATCCTTGATAGTGTTAGTGGGAGCGGCTTGCGGAGCTGTGCATTGTGGGAGTTGTTGTCTTTAATACAAATGCGCCCTAAAGTCACTTTCTGTCTTTTCTCGGTCAAATAGGCACCAAATTCAAAATATATGTTACATTTCGACTACATATATAACCCACTTTCAATAAATATTCATGTTTCCACGGGTGAAATGCTCCTTTAAAAGAATCAATGAGGTTTAAAAAACCCTTTGCCATTGGCTTATCAGGACAACACACATGAACAATAAAATCCCCAACAATAAGAACACGGTCATATTTAGGATGATTTCAGCCAGGAAATCAGAGAAGTCATTTATAAAGTCCTTATTGTACTTGGGAGGCCGATAGACCACAGCACACAACACTGTGAGAGAGCGACCAAGCTCAAATAAGCTCAGTTCAAAGCTGGTGAAAGAGGATGACAGCAATAGCTGCTTATATTTAGAATGACTCTTATAGACGGTCGCTATTGGCCCGACGTCCGCAGGGAGTTAAAGGAGCAGCAATCATGGGGTAAAAGTTCAGTGAAAGCGCTGGATTCACCAACACTCAGCCATGTCTCAGTCACACAGAGGAAATCCAATCCTCGGGACGTGAAGAAATCCTTTCAGACAGAAGTCTTGTTCGCTGGTGATCTAGCATTTACCAGGCCAATCCTGGCAGGAACCGGCGGGGCCGCGGCATTGGCTGACCGGGGAGCCCGACACAGAGGCCGTAAGTTGCGGTGAGGAGAGCAGGGGGTGACGTTGGAGTCCGGTATCTGCTCGATGATTGCAGGGATGTAGGGTTCAAACCTCCTCTTCTTCATCCTCCGTTTAACCCCCGCTCTGCAGCCTCGCCGTCTCCTCAGCTCCTCCGGTATGGAGGGTCTCTCTCCAGTCAGGATGCTCGGGTACCTCAGGGCGATCATCTGGTCGCGGGTGTAAACAATGCGACTCTCCGTCGCCATGGAGACCAGCGTAAACAAAAAATAAAAAGTGCTCAAAAACGGCGAAAAAGTATTTAGGCGACGCGAACAATGTAATAAGGAAGTAAGAAAGTAAGAAAACAGTTAAAAATAGCAAAAAAACACAGAAAACACACTAAAACTACAACAATGATAGGAGCTGCAATGAGAGGCTGCCGTTGTGCCGGCGCGCAAACCTTTTGCTCTATTTATATTTGATTTCCACTTTAGTAGTTAAGTAGTTTTAGTTTAGTTTTTAGTTTAGTTTTAGTTTAGTTTTGGTTTTAGTCAAGTTTAATTTGTTGCTCATATTTTGGACCCCGTGTCCTACTTAAACAACAAATAGTGTATATACTTTAATTTATAGTTTTTATATTTTCTAATATTAATAATATTAACAATATTTTTACTGTGATTTTGCGCTGCTTTGCCCTATTGCTGCTGTGTCAAAACTAATTTCTCCTTAGGGGGATAAATAAAGGAATTATTTTATCTTATCTTATCTTATTAGGCCTATTTTCATTATTTTTATTATAACTGTTGAGTTCATTTTTTTTGTTGTTGAGCCAAAACAATTATTAATCAGAATTTCAAATAGTGTTTTTTATAAGACTAAAACAATCAATTATTGGCAAAGATGACTTGTTTATTTTTAAATTGTTTCAATTTCTCAATGAAGTGTTTTTTTTTAAATTTCTTTAATCTTTTGCTGTGATGTCATCGGAATGTTGTGATGTCATTGATTGATGTCAAGATCAAAGCCAATAGAATGTTGCTTTGATACAAAGGTGAACATTCTGTCTGAAACTATGGATATAGGATCCCAATCAACCTGGTTCAGTTCACATTCTTCAGGACACTTCCACAAGGACACTTCCACAACAAGCACAGATTCTTAAGGACTTCGGATCCAAGGATACTAACAGACATGGATCAATCTACATATGAGAGTCTTCGCGTACTTATCCAACAGAGCCTGAACAAGCTGACAACCATACAGTTGTCGCAGCTGCAAGGCGGGTCTCTAGACAGCACCGCAAAGGATGTAATCACCGAATTGTGTGTGGATATTGTAAATATGCTATTCATACATGTTACTGAGGTGTTTAATTGGAGGCAACTGAAGGGGAGGCTCACTCCCACATCATCTAAAAGCTCTTCTGGGTCTGCCAGATCACAGAAGGACAGCATATCTGAAGATGATGTGCGCAGCTGTCTGGGAGACAAAATATCCCTGGCTTTCTCTGAGGCAACCAGGATCACAAACATCAGTTGCCGAAGCGTGGAGAAGGTTACCAGCGCTGTGGTTAGAGAGATCACAGAGAGACTAAATGAGCTCTCCAATGCCTCTGGAAGTATTGGAGGCAGCAATAAAGGGAAAAGTCCTCTCGTCTCACGTTCATTCACGCACAGACTGAAGACCATGGTCCGACATGTTGTGAGGATGTTAAAAAACTGCACAGGTGAGGAGGGCACCACGCCCCTTGGAAGCGGGGAGTTTACCCCCGTACTTTCTTTTGTGGATGAGACGGACATTCTGCCTCAGACGAGCTTCATCATCGAAACGACAGAAGCCGTGAAAACTATACTGCAACAACAGGCAAAATGCATTACCCCGATTAGTTATAACGCTAAGATTTCCGATGAAGAATGCGAAGTGTTTGAGTCCGGTTCCTCCCAGGACACAAACGAGATGGCTTCTTCTATAGTCAAACAAATAATTGAAGACACTTCACTGCCGGAATCAGTGCCGGAATCAGTGGCTGAATATGAAAAGTTACCCTACTGGAAAACGGTGGGAGATAAACTTAAGTATTTCTTTGCGGTAAGATTTGCCAAGGGCTCACTACTTGTCCTTGTGAGACAACTGAGGCGTAAATATAATTGCGTCTCAGAGGAAGAGACGTCTCTGAGCCAGTTAATGGAAGAGGCCGATCTGGTGGTGAAAACCATCATCTCATTAAACGAAGAGGACATAAATAATGACACGGA